TACTCATCTCACCCTATATTTTAAGGTAAGTAATGAGTGAACTGTATATACATTTTATCGCTCTGGGATGCTTAAATATCATAGAATTGTATGTGTGGGTGGGGTGGCCTGGTATGGTAGCCTGGCTGACTACCATACATACCACACTTGATTTCTTACAATAAATACTACTTGTCTCACCCTAGATTAAGACTATAAATATTTTAAGGTAAGTAATGAGTGCACTATGTGTGTATTGTACTTTTTTATTGTTTTTTGATGCCTGGTTCTATTGCTAACTTAATATATGTTAGTGTAAACTTGTTATCTAGTGTTTATATGCATTTGTAAGTGGAAAAAAAGGGTGTTCCACTTTACGGCGGTTTCCGCTTTACGGCGGTAGCCTGGAACCTAACCAGCCGTATAAGTGGGGCCTTCCTGTATGTGTGTGTGTGTGTGTGTGTGTGTGTGTGTGTGTGTGTGTGTGTGTGTGTGTGTGTGTGTGTGTGTGTGTGTGTGTGTGTGTGTGTGTGTGAACAGTATTTTTTTTTCATACTTTTGGGTGTCTTGCACGGATTAATTTGATTTCCATTATTTCTTATGGGGAAAATTAATTCGCATAATGATAATTTCGCCTAACATTGAGCTCTCAGGAACGGATTAATAGCGTTATGCGAGGGTCCACTGTATATATTTATGAAGGGGTTCAGGGAAACCGGCAGGCCGGACTTGAGTCCTGGAGATGGGAAGTACAGTGCCTGCATTCTGAAGGAGGGGTGTTAATGTTGCAGTTTAAAAACTGTAGTGTAAAGCACCCTTCTGGCAAGACAGTGATGGAGTGAATGATGGTGAAAGTTTTTCTTTTTCGGGCCATCCTGCCTTGGTGGGAATCGGCCAGTGTGATAAAAAAAAAAAAAAAAAAAAATTATATATATATATATATTTATATTATATATATATATATATATATATATATATATTATATTATATATATATATATATATATATATATATATATATATATATATATATATATATATATATATATATATATATATACAGTGGACCCTCGCATAACGCTATTAATCCATTCCTGAGAGCTCAATGTTAGGCGAAATTATCGTTATGCGAATTAATTTTCCCCATAAGAAATAATGGAAATCAAATTAATCCGTGCAAGACACCCAAAAGTATGAAAAAAAATTTTTTTTACCACATGAAATATTAATTTCAATACACACAAACTGAAGAAGACATGCACAGTTACATGACACTTACCTTTATTGAAGATCTGGTGATGATTGATGGGATGGGAGGATGAGAGAGTCTTAGTGTTTAGAAGGGGAATCCCCTTCCATTAGGACTTGAGGTGTCAAGTCCTTTTCCGGGGTTACTTCCCTTCTTTTAATGCCACTAGGACCAGCTTCAGAGTCACTGGACTTCTGTCGCACAACATATCTGTCCATAGAGGTCTGTACCTCTCGTTCCTTTATGACTTTCCTAAAGTGGTTCACAACACTGTCAGTGTACAAGTTGCCAACACAGCTTGCAACAGCTGTCTGAGGGTGATTTTCATCCATAAAGGTTTGCACTTTAAGCCACATTGCACAGACTTCCTTAATCTTTGAAGTAGGCAACTTCTTCAATTTCTCTCTCCCCTCCTCCAAAGCAGTTTCCTCAGGTGTGGCCTCTTGCTGTTGAAGATGATCTTGCAGCTCATCAGTGGTTAGTTCTTCATTGTCCTCCTCCACCAACTCTTCCACATCGTCCCCACTAACCTCCAACCCCAAGGACTTCTCCAATGCCACAATTGATTCCTCAACTGGCATATGCCTCTCAGGGTTAGCCTCAAATCCTTCAAAATCCCTTTGGTCTACACATTCTGGCCACAGTTTCTTCCAAGCAGAGCTCAAGGTCCTCTTAGTCACTCCCTCCCAAGCCTTACCTATAAGGTTTACACAATTGAGGATATTAAAGTGATCTCTCCAAAATTCTCTTAGAATCAATTGAGTTTCTGAGGTCACTACAAAGCACCTTTCAAACAGAGCTTTTGTGTACAGTTTTTTGAAGTTTGCAATAACCTGCTGGTCCATGGGCTGCAGGAGAGGAGTGGTATTAGGAGGCAAAAACTTGACCTTAATGAAGCTCATGTCCCCACAAAGTCTCTCTGCCAAGTCTGTAGGATGACCAGGGGCATTGTCTAACACCAGGATGCACTTAAGGTCTAATTTCTTTTCAGTTAGGTAATTTTTCACATTGGGGGCAAATGCTTGGTGTAACCAGTCATAGAAAAAGTCCCTAGTGACCCATGCCTTACTGTTTGCCCTCCACAGCACACACAAATTAGCCTTGAGGATATTCTTTTGCCTGAACGCTCTGGGAGTTTCAGAGTGATACACTAATAAAGGCTTCACTTTGCAATCACCACTAGCATTGGCACACATTAACAGAGTAAGCCTGTCTTTCATAGGCTTATGTCCTGGGAGTGCCTTTTCCTCCTGAGTAATATAAGTCCTGCTTGGCATTTTCTTCCAAAACAGGCCTGTTTCGTCACAATTAAACACTTGTTCAGGTTTCAGTCCTTCACTGTCTATGTACTCCTTGAATTCCTGCACACATTTTTCAGCTGCTTTGTGGTCCAAACTGGCAGCCTCACCATGCCTTATCACACTATGTATGCCACTACGCTTTTTAAATCTCTCAAACAAACGTTTGCTGGCCTTAAATTCACTCACATCATCACTAGTTGCAGGCATTTTTCTAATTAAATCCTCATGCAACTTCCTAGCCTTTTCACTTATGATCGCTTGAGAGATGCTATCTCCTGCTATCTGTTTTTTGTTTATCCACACCAATAACAGTCTCTCAACATCTTCTATCACTTGCGATCTCTGTTTCGAAAACAAAGTTGCACCTTTGGCAAGAACAGCTTCCTTGATTGCCGTTTTCTTGGACACAATAGTAGAGATGGTTGATTGGGGTTTACTATACAACCTGGCCAGCTCAGAGACACGCACTCCACTTTCATACTTAGCAATGATCTGTTTCTTCATCTCCATAGTAATTCTCACCCTTTTTCCTGTAGGGTTGGCACTAGAAGCTTTCTTGGGGCCCATGGTCACTTATTTTGCAGGTGAAATTACTAAAAATGCTGTAATAATACGAAATGTTCCGATTGTATGCTCAGATGTTACCGCGGAGGCTGGCTTGTAAACAATGCCACTGGCGGAACAAGTGAGGCTGGCTCAGGCCGCACATAGACGCGTCTCTGATGAATCGCGTTGAGCGAGTTTTTTAGCACTATGCAAGGCAAAATTTTATTGATAAAATGTATCGCTACGCGGATTTAACGTTATGTGATGCCAACGTTAGGCAGGGGCCCACTGTATATATGTATATATATATATATATATATATATATATATATATATATATATATATATATATATATATAATTATATATATATATATATATATATATATATATATATATATATATATATAATGTATATTTAGAGAGAATGGATCAAAGTAGAATAACATGGAAAGCATATAAATCTATAGGGAAAGGAAGGCGAGGTAGGGGTCGTCCTCGAAAGGGTTGGAGAGAGGGGGTAAAGGAGGTTTTGTGGGCAAGGGGCTTGGACTTCCAGCAAGCGTGCATGAGCGTGTTAGATAGGAGTGAATGGAGACGAATGGTACTTGGGACCTGACGTTCTGTTGGAGTGTGAGCAGGGTAATATTTAGTGAAGGGATTCAGGGAAACCGGTTACATTTTCATATAGTCGGACTTGAGTCCTGGAAATGGGAAGTACAATGCCTGCACTTTAAAGGAGGGGTTTGGGATATTGGCAGTTTGGAGGGATATGTTGTGTATCTTTATACGTATATGCTTCTAAACTGTTGTATTCTGAGCACCTCTGCAAAAACAGTGATTATGTGTGAGTGTGGTGCAAGTGTTGAATGATGATGAAAGCATTTTCTTTTTGGGGATTTTCTTTCTTTTTTGGGTCACCCTGCCTCGGTGGGAGATGGCCAACTTGTTGAAAAAAAAAAAAGAAGTGTGAAATATATATATATATTATATATATATATATATATATATATATATATTTTATATATATATATATATATATTTTTATATATATATATATTTTTATATAATATTATTTACATACATGCACACAAAACGAGCAAACAGGTGATCTTAATAATGTAGGATAAGCCACATGGGGGTGGAAATATTTAGCTCATGATCTTTTGCACTTTCCATGCATCGTCAGAAGCAATGCGATGTTGCAAGACTAGCAAGTGATAGTAGGAGGAAAAATTCTCTGAGGACATGACATGACATGGCGTGACACTTTACACTTCTGCCTTGCCTAAGAGAGAATTTTTCTTCCTACTATCTGTTGCTAGCCTTGCAACACTGTATTGCTCCTGATGATGCACTGTGGCCAAGTGTATCAAAATGTGCCTTTGACAACTGGTAGCTACTACTGCTACTATTAAACACATACAATATGCATCGTAAATATGCACATGCATAAGTACACCTTTAGCAAACTTTTAGGTAACAGTTTCTTTTGTATGCAAGACGGTGCCTCTTGCCATACTGCGAAAGACAAACTACTTGCTAAATGATTATGAAGTTTCAAACTTTAATGACTGGTCAGAACTCCCCAGACTTAAATCCGATTAAAAAAAAAAAGCGTAGAAGTTTATTAAGCGTGAGCTTATAGTGGCATGGACGTGTCCACTGTCACATTAAGAAAGTGTAGGAATGTACTGACTCTTCTATCAGTGCCTATCAGACATTTTGGAGTGCATCAAGAGGAAGGATAATCTACAAAATACTAGGTTATGTGAGTAACCCACATATATTTCTATATTTCATATTTAAAGCTATTAATAATTTATGCTGAGCATTCTCATTCTGTGCAATGAGTTCATGTGCGTGCATATATATGATGCCTATGTGTGTGTGGTGTTTTAAACAAATATTTTTTAATTCACTTCACCTGTTCGGTATCCTTGTTTCTCCTCTCTGCTCTCAGTGGTGCAGAAGTTAAGGTATCAGTGGGTTCAGGAGGAGTGCGAGTGATAGTACCACTTTTGATGTGCCAGTAGTATGGACCATCATTATCTGTATAGAATTCCAGCAAATTCATTATGAAGAATACCTTTGTGGTGATCACTTACCAAAATTAACTTCACAAATTTATCACTTTAATTATTTAATTTGAAAGACACTACAGCAAAATCATTAAATAACTCAATACAATGGAATTAATAATGTGATGTAGTGAGTTAAACACAGCTAACCTTCATGCTTTTCCCATCCAGGTGGGAGAGTGTCTTCTATGGGTGGGTCAGTCTTTTCTTCACTATCATTTTGTGTGGGCTGATGTGTGGGTGTGGAGTGTTGAGACCCCGTCTGTGTGGGAGGTCGCTTCACTGGCAAAGCATATAAATCCTGCAAAAACAAAATTAAATTCTGCATTATATATATTACAATAATTTTGGACTGGCTAACTTCCGTTTTTAAAAAAACTTAATAATTTTAGCAACTTAAAGCTGTTATTCAAAATACACACATAGCGAAAAAAAATAAAAATTGTGGATAAAGTAAATGCTGGAAGAATAAAATAAAAAGTAATAGAGAGGAAGATTTATATGACTTCAACACTTGGCTTTTTCTTCACATTTTGCCTGTAATCATATCTGGTAGAGATGTATCGGGTGTGAAAATTTAGATATCCACAGATGCGGATGTGTATTGTTTTGCAGATGCATATGCGGATATCTGTTAACAGTAAATGCAGATGCAGATGTAAGAAACTGTGCGTATATTCTGCGGATGCGGATATCCTATACATCTCTAATATCTGGCACCAACAATTTGGAGCACCAAGTGCAGTATTTATACTACAGTATGCTGTATGACCCTAGTGGGTCTAACGCTTGCTTTTGATATTAACAACAATATTAATGATAATATACTACAGTATAACACAAGAAAAATCTGAGCGAAGAATAACTTGGTACTTTAGTAGTTATATTTTTCTCCTGGAGTAAATGCGTGTGTGCGTGTGCATGTACTCACCTAATTGTCGTTGCAGGGGTCGAGACTCAGCTCCTGGCCCCACCTCTTCACTGAACGCTACTAGGTCCTTTCTCTCTCCCTCCATAAGCTTTATCATACCTTGTCTTAAAGCTATGTATGGTTCCTGCCTCTGCTACATCACTTGCTAGACTATTCCACTTCCTGACAACTCTATGACTGAAGAAATACTTTCTAACATCCCTTCTACTCATCTGTGTCTTCAATTTCCAAGTGTGATCTCTTGTTGCTGTGTCCCATCTCTGGAACATTCTGTCTCTGTCCACCTTGTCTATTACTCTCAGTATTTTATATGTCGTTATCATATCCCCCCTATCTCCCCTGTCCTCCAGCACCGTCACGTTGATGTCCCTTAACCTCTCCTCGTAGGATGTGTGTGTGTGTGTACTCACCTATTTGTGGTTGCAGGGGTCGATACTCAGCTCCTGGCCCCACTTCTTCACTGACCGCTACGTGTGTGTATGCGTTAGTAGATTCCCGAAAAAATACTAAACCCACAAAGGTCATAAAGTGCCTGGGAAGTGAGAGGTGATCAAGTTTTCCCCAAGGTAAAGGATGGCTCCAATTCCTTGGATCGAGTGTTTCACCGACATCAAAACAACCCTTTGAAAAGTTAACATTTGTTTAGTAGTCATACGATAATTCCTGAATTAAGCAATATACTATCTAACGTAAATATCCCGAAGTATATGCACTAGGTCGTAACTTCTGTGAAAATTCATTAAGATATGACATCCTTATTATTATTATTATTATTATTATTATTATTATTATTATTGCTGCTGCTTAAGTTAATTTTTTTACCATGGTCTTATATATATAAATATTTTTTTTTTCAGAGGTAAACCCGTCGAGTGCCATCGTGGCACATCTTCGTGCAGGTGTGGTGATCTTACCTGTGTGTGACCAGCTGTCATATGTGGGATGTGAGCTGGAGACTGACGTCCTTGGTGTGAAGAGTTTGACGAAGACGTTGACCCACCGTCAGTAACTATACCAGAGTCTACACCACCTTCACCACCTTCAGGAGTCAGCATGCGCTTATCATCGTTCCTGCCAAATATTGTCAACCTTAATATATACTTAACATATACCCACATGTTGGTTTAGAGAGACACTTGAGCAAACACTAGGAAATATTAGACAACGTTTCGGTCCTGGGTCTTTGATGGCTTCAGAAGTGATCAAAGTCCCAGGATCGAAACGTTTTTTTAATAAATGTGTCCTAGTGTTTGCTCACGTGTCTCTAAACCGACATTAATAATAATGATACCGGTAGTAATTTACAATATTTTTATAATTTTGGAGCGCCTGTTTTTCCGAGAAATACACAAGTATTTGTACACTACATCACAAATACAAGAATAACAGACTAACCATTAACATCGTAGCTCCAGAAATGTTCTTTAAACTGATATTTAAAAGGCACAAACAACCTAGTGTGAGTAATTTATAATTCACGTGTTTAACGTGTTCATAATGCGTATCTATTAACAAAAAAATTACCTCTCCATATGCATAAACGGATAAATATAATTATATCCTTTACCAGAGAATAAAATTATACCAATTATATAAACATCGTTTGAAAATGAGAATATGGGTGAATTATCAGTTATCTATATATAATTATCATTCATGCACATGTTAAATAATCATTTTAAACGTAAAACTTAAACCATAAGCATAATTCAAACATCAAAGATATGTCAGAAAATAACATATATCAACGTAACATAATGATGATCAATAAAACACAGTCACCAGTGACAAAATACTCATAAATTAAATAAAAATAACTACCAATGTAGCGAAATTTATGAACGAAGCAAAATCATCAATAAGTCAAAATTATGCAGTCACTGACTCAAGTTATCCATCAATGAAGCGAAATAATCCATTAATGAATCCCAAGGAATCAATAAAACAAAATGATTCGTTAGTAAAACAATTTTTTACATTATATATATATATATAATTAATATATTATATATATATATATATATATATATATATATATATATATATATATATATATATATATTATATATATATATATGGTGACCATACACTGACCGTAATTCGTGCGAATAATCCACATTTAGCCGTAAAGAAAAAATGCGAATATTTTCGTTCAAGCTAGAAACAGTCTTCATAATGAATTAATTTGGATCTGTTTTTTGAGAAGCGCTAAACCCGTGTGGGTCATTTAACGCAAGGAGTGGTGGAGGCTTGATCCTCTATCCGCTAATCAGCCAGCCAGGCTAGGAGGGGGGGGGGAGGTAACCTACCTCAGAGGGCCTGTGGAAGGTCTCTAACGAGACCGAAAACTGTTAGTTTGTTTACACACACACACACACACACACACACACAGACGAGTCACAGGGATATTAGGAAGTATTTCTTCAGTCATAGAGTTGTCAGGAAGTGGAACAATCTAGAGAGTGATGTAAAGGAGGCAGGACCCATACATAGCTTAAAGAACAGGTACGATAATTCTCATGGAGCAGGTTGAGTACACACAGCCATGCAAATGAAAAAAGTATTATAGACTACACAACTAACGTAACTAAAGCTCACGGTCTTAACAGATAATGGCAAGACAACAAAATTGTACAGATAAAAATTCTTAGGCTGCAACAAATATTACAACAAAACATTTAGCACATAATTTGTCAAATTTGACAAAGATCAATAAACCAGTAAATAAAATAAAAACTCGATTTTCAACCATTTATTTGGTCAAGATTTTTTTTTTTCACATTCAAACTAGCCTAGAAATGCGTCATCCCCAAGCAACATTAAAAAAATTAATCTCGTTAATATTTTATTCGTTATTTTATCAGTACATTTTCTCAAAAAAAAAAAAAATGAGATCGCTGAGTAGCTAAATGAACGAACGATTAATATTGAAACAAAATCTGGCAACAATCTTAAGCGATCCCCCAAAAATGTGGACAAAAACGTGTAAGATCATTCATTATGTTCCTGGGGAAGCGCTAAGCCCGTATGGGTCATGGAGCACCTGGGCAATGAGAGATAATCAGATGTGATAAAAGGAGAAGGGTCACTCCAGTTCCTTGGATCAAAAGCCTTGACCAGCATTAAGGCATCTCACTCATAAAGAGAAAAGAATGCAGAGCAACATGCAAAAAAAATTAAATAAAAAAATTATATATATACTTCAACTAGGCTATTATAATAAAAATGTTTTGTGTGTGTGTGTGTGTGGTGTGTGTGTTTCAAGGCCTGGAATCTATGGTGTGTCCAGCAACCATCCAACACATTCCATCCACTCTACCATCCCGTCAAACATGTTCCAGGTATAGAATTGTTAAAAGCGTTTATTACGCTAAAAAGCTCACATGTGTACACACACACACACACACACACACACACACACACACACACACACACACACGCGCGCGCGCGCTTAATCCCTTCAGGTAAACAATTAGCATAAGGTGTTATAACAGTGTAAGGTCTACTTCTGCCTAGTGCAGAAAGGTCACTGTGGTGCTTAAAGATTACCATTACGTTCTGAAATAGTGGTGGTGGTGGTGGTTGTAGAGTGGTGGATGAAATTTGGAGTGGGGCAGTTGTTACAAGTGTTACAAGTGTATGCCTGGCTATTGTTAATGTGGTAGTGCTTGGTTGTTGTTGGTGTGGTGATACAAGGTTGTTGGTGTGATGCCTAGTTGTTGTTGGTGTGGTGATGCCTGACTTGTGGTGTTCCCTGGTTGGTGTGGTGATGACTGTTGTGGTGTTCCCTGGTTGGTGTGGTGATGCCTGGCTCTTGTGGTGTTCCGTGGTTGGTGTGGTGATGCCTGTTGTGGTGTTCCCTGGTTGTTGTGGTGTTCCCTGGTTGGTGTGGTGATGACTGTTGTGGTGTTCCCTGGTTGGTGTGGTGATGCCTGGCTCTTGTGGTGTTCCGTGGTTGGTGTGGTGATGCCTGGCACTTGTAGTGTTTCCTGGTTGGTGTGGTGATGCCTGGCTCTTGTGGTGTTCCCTGGTTGGTGTGGTGATGCCTGGCTCTTGTGGTGTTCCCTGGTTGGTGTGGTGATGCCTGGCACTTGTAGTGTTTCCTGGTTGGCGTAGTGATGCCTGACTTGTGGAGTTGCCTGGTTATTGGTGTGGTGACGCCTGGCTCTTATTGGTGTGGTGACGCCTGGCTCTTATTGGTGTGGTGGAAGGTTGGGATGGAGGGAGGAGAGTTGGGACTCACTCTGTGTCGTCCTGGTTGTTGGAGACAATCTGGTTGTTGGAGTGCTGCTGGAGATTGGTCCTGTGGGCGACGTGTTCAATAAGGTCAGGTTGGGTTGTAATGGAGTAGCTCAGACCTTGCTTCCGACCCATTATGCTTTCATTGTCCAGCAGGCTGCCGGTGGGAAGAGTCAAAGCTAATTTTACTAACCCAAGCTTAGCTTAGCATTTTACACAATAAGAAAAAAAAACATATTCACATATATTAGCTAAACCCGTACAAAGCCCGGGAATGGGACTTAAAATTACAAAAAAACATTGCATAGTAAAAATCAGTTTACCCTAAAATTATGTCGAAATCTAGTCTTTCAGAGGCGCCTTGATGCTGGTAAGTAGCTCTTGATCTAGGGAACTGAACACCCTCACTTTCCCTGGATCAAACCTGGTTGCCTTCCTTCTACCCATGCTGAGACCCCTACGGGTTTAACGCTCCCTAATGAATGCAATAATAAAGCAATTCGACATGTTTAAGAGAAGAATATTCAGTTACCCAAAGTTTAGTTTAGCAGCTTGGATTAATAACACCAGAATTACTACAAGGTTAATAATAACTATAAAGAGCATTAGGTAGCAAAAATCTGTTTAGATCACTCCAAAATGTGAGTGAACCCTATGCAACTTAAAAAAAAATAGGAGCAACCCAAAACACGGTTTTTGAAGGAAATTACCTGGTCCAAGAGGACCAAGTCATTTTCCGTGACCGTCTTCAATTCCTAGTTTTCTTGGGGATGGCACTTCCCGTTTCTGTCATGACCAACTCCTAAGAGAGATACATGCCAGCTTTGGGTGGCGACGATCAGATTACTGCATTGCTAAGACGAGGATCGAAAAAAATAACCGAAAACGGCCCTATAAGGAAATCCCCCCGGTCCTAAGACCGAGGTATCTCTGATACCGTTTTCATTTCTCATTTTTGGGGGAAGGGCATTCCATCTTTTCTGTTGTGCCCAACGCCAATAGTGAAGGGCATGTGAGATCTGACATTTTAAGGACAGAAAACGGTATTTGAAGGAAATCACCCAGTCAAGAACGACCAAGATATTTCCGAGAATTTTCACTCTCCAATTTTCTCCAGGACATTTCCCCTCTTCTGTCATGCCGATCTTCAAGAGTAGAATAGAAAATGGTAACGGCACATGGAAGATGTATCCAATTTTGCCTAAAAAAAAAAGTCGCGTAATGATGGGCTCAACATTCTCTCCAAATTACTGATGTATCTTTTGAAAATAAAGAAGTCTTAATGCCGGGGACATAAAACCCGCGAAAAATGTGGTCATAAAGCTTTAAATTACGCGGGAGCCGCAGCGCGGGAAACTGGGCCTCACCTGCTCCCACGAATTATTACCCAAGTTTACCGCCTTTATAGTCAAGATAACTCATTAAAATCTGTCTCATTACCAGTGGGACAGGACAAGGTGCAGCAACCCCACAATTCTGTGACGACGCCAGTATCATTCCCTAGCAAGGCCCAGCCCCCCCCCCCCCTCCAAAAAAAAAGTGGCTCTTTCTCCCTTAGGTTGAGAGGCTCCTGTTCCTTTGCTGTTTCATCAACGGTTTATCCTGCTATTAAAATATATGTGTAACGATCTACCAAGAACAAGAAAAATGAATGAAATGTAGAGGATGATAAAACAAAAACAAACGGAATATCGAAAAGTTTGAAAAAAAAAAAACACGAAAATTTAAGGATACCTCATCATTATTTTAAAAGATTTACAAAGTGAACTTAACAACAATAATAACAAACTTATTTCTAATTAGACATATATAATTCGTTATGCATATTGTAAAAAAACAGACTCAATCACCGAGTATTTTTTCCCTCGTCCAACAGCCTAATGCCACAGCATTTTCTCTTATGTATGAATGAAAAAATATAGTCCACCATCAATCACAATCAAATCATCGAGCAGAATCCACGATGATGACTAATGATAATGGTAATTGATGATTGTTAATAATGATATATAGCGCTAATGACCCTGGTGATTGAGCGCTTAGTTTTGATAATAATAATAATAATATAAGGTGTTCTGAATATTTAATAAAAGTCAAATGTTAATGAAAAATGCATTATTATGTTTTATTTCTGACAGAAAAACACGACGCTTTTACTTTTTTCAGCAGTCAAGTTCTTGATGAACAACCAGCCACCTGACTCATGGTTGACCCATGAACAACAATCTCTAGGTTTTCAGTTGCTCAAAATTTAACGTTGTGACCCATGCGGGTTCAGTGTTTGTTGCTGAATAATAATAATAATAATAATAATAATAATATTACGGTAATGCGCAGAGAATAAACGTTTACAATTCCTATGGATAAAATATTTCCTATGTTAGGACCTTTAGTGCTGTGATAATGAAGGTTCTTGTTTCAAGAAACTGGAGTTACCCTTCCATGCTAAAGTCATACTTGTTTACCTTCCATTCTTCAGGCGCTGTATACCTCCCGACGAGTTTAGCGCTTCTTGTCTATAATAATGTTAGGATGACTATCTTAGAGCCGTGGTAGACTTCACCCTTCACAACATTATTGAGAGGTGAGCAGCAGACCAGCCTGGGGTCATGCAGTGCTGGGGGACTGAAGGAGCCTTGACAACAGCCTCGTTCACTCAACCATCGTTCTCAAATACCGTTAACAGGTATCGTTTATAAATGCCAATAAATCTGTCACAATGTGCAGTCATTGAAGGTCACAAGTACGATGATTAAAGGGAGGAAGTGTGAATCGTGGAGTGGGTGATGGTGAGGGAAGGGAAACGAGGGAGGGGAACGGGAAGGGGGTGGAGGAGGGGAGCTTCATAAATAAGATCAATACTGGCCACAGGGAGTCCGGGTTCATACTAGCCTAGTACAGTTGTGGCATTATTTGCTGTCACTGCCATTCCGCCTACCTTTCCACTAGTTTTCTCATTTCCTTCCCCTGTTTCCTCTCTTCTTTCCTTTCTCTCATCTCTTCCTTCCTCCCCTACTTCTCTCAATTCCTTCTCTCTTCCTCCATCCTTTCTCCCTATCTCACTTCTTCCCTTGTCTCCATGCTATTCTTTATTTTCACCCTCTGTCTTCCCCTCTCACATTCCCTCTTCCTCTTTCTACAGATGGATGGATATTTAATAGCCCAAGAGAAATTCAAACACAAAGGAAAATTCACCAATTGATCATGAGGTAATTAAACAGATTTGGCTAAAAAAAATTAATTTGTTTCAAACTCTCCCGCCATTACCAGGATGTTCATTAGCCCGAGTTTACCAGGAGTCACATCAGCCACTGGTACTGGGTAAACATTTTTAAATTATACAAAGGCAAATTAAACTTAAAAAAAAAAACAGTCATTAAGCAGGTAAAAATCGATGAAGCAAACTTGTCTGACGCAAAACGATCATAGCCTCTTCAAATTTCTGATTGAAATATTTCCTCGCTGATATACCTCGGTCATTATATTATACAAAACATATTAGCAGGCAAATATAATAGTCATTCTACGTGCTCTAAGAGGAGTCTAAAAAAAAGTTGCTCTGACTAATTATCACTCAAGTTTGGCATCGCTTGTAAAAAGTCTCTTGTTATCCCCCCCCACACACAATCATAAATATTAGAGGAATAATAAAAAAATATAGGAGAATACAGTATTAGATGTTATAACTTGGCTTTACATTCAATTTCGCTGCTCCGTTACGTCTATTTTCCTGCTTCCCTACACCTAGCTGTCTACCTCCCCAGCTGTGCGAAATTGCCAATTGAGGATCTCGCCAGACCCAGCAGTTGATGCATACGTTATAAAATATATATTAAATAAGAACAAATCGCGTCAATAATGCTAAGAGATATAGCGGTTCTGTCAAATCTTCAGTGCACTATATAGTCGCCACTACAATAGTGGTGTACAATACTGACATAGTGATGAATAAAACACATGTGCCACACCTTGATATCTTCGTTTTGGAGTGTTGCACTTCATCGCCTTATACAGGACTCAAATACCCTTATACCTTATCTTTCCTTCCCGCTGCATTGTTTCCTAATTTTTGAAGTGTTCCTTCCAGAGTTATCTGCCGCACCTCCCTCTCCACATGTCTTCCTTTTAAAAACATTTCCCTCTCCATCGCAGACATTTGTTTCTTCTTTTTCTACCTCTTCTCCGCCTACAGTTGCATTCTTTTCCCCTTCACCACTTTCCGCTTTACGAATCCTCTCACACACCTTTCTCTCGAATATCCTTCTTCGGGTTTTTTTTTTCACACTCAATTCCCTCTTCCCACGCTCGTTCCCTTTTCTCCACACTCCCATTTCTCCCCACACTTGACTCACGCTATACCACACAATCTGTATGTCTTTGGGAATGAACAACAATCTTAAAACAATCATAACACAACTCAGTGCTGAAATAACAAATCATAACACAATGCTGATATAACAGTCATCTCACACTCAACAACATTCCTATATACTAGTGACCCCTGACAATACACACTATACATGCAACTGTGATCATGATAATATACTTCATACACACCATTTCAACATACTACTCTTATCCTGATAAGATACACATCATTCATACATTCTACTCTGACCCTGACAATATGTAACACCATACACGCCTTTAATACATTCAACCGTGATCCCTGACAATATACACCACACTGTGACTCATGTATACCATCTTTATGAAAATATAGTATCAGTCACGGGAAGAGCTAAACTCGCAGGGATCGTACAACGCCTGGGGCAGGAACGGTAATCAATCACGTTTAATCTGAGGGAAGGCATCTTCAATCCCTTGTATCAGAGTCCTTTTACCAGCATTGAAAGCATAAAATAATTTTTCCAATTATACCAAAATTACGTATGATTGTAAATACCTGTATATACTGCTCATACCAAAGTTAATTTCTTAAGGTAGGCTTTGCTTCCATAATAATGGTGTTAAATTACGATTTGTCTTCTTGTTAGATTTGTGTATGCTAAACACAAGACGTATCCACTGCACAAGGGTCATTATGCTGCATGTAATCTGTATACTATTGATACATTTAATTCTTAAAACAGGATTTAAGAGATGCACACATCTTTCAATATACACACTGAGACGCAAACAATTTGCTGCTTATATACTGAGGAACACACATTGCTGTGTATACCCTGGAAGACATGTACAACTTGAATGTGAACTTACACAGTCTTAAATTTGACTTTTCAACAACATGAGGACGCGGGGGGTGACAAAAGAAGCGTACACGTACAATATGATCTCTGAGTGAGACTCGGGAAAATGTGGTTCAAATATCAACACAGAGATCCAGTCTCTGAAGCAGACACACATGGGAAGTGTTATATGCTAGCGGAAAGTGACAAACAAGGGGGTAACCACTTTACGACATTCGTTGGAAACGTTTTGGTCCT